GAAAACATCCCTGTGTTACCAACACTGTTTCCAGCCCAAACCCAAACCACAGCCCCATACTAGCTATGGGGAAGAAAACTAACTCCATCCCAGCCAAAGCCAGCACAGATTCTTACCAATTGATATGGATTTAATAGCTTATTTCACCTTGCAACAGCTGCATGCATCTGATCAATAATGTAGTTTAATGAAAGAAGATTCAAACTCTAGATGTTACCATTATATTAGACTTGGGTAGTAAAAATGTTATTTGAAGAGTTTCATGCTTCAGTCCTTGAATTGGACTGACAGATCTCACTGATTTGGGTGATAATGCATCGGATAAGATACCAGGTACTTGTACTCAGGCAAAATACTCTTTCTCAGACATTCACAAAGCAAAAAGTTATGGTCAGCAAGATCTAAAAGGAACGAAAAATTAATTTAAACTTTCAGTTGAATAGAATATTTTTAACAAGTTGTAGTGATTACATACTATTAAGAAATTAATGAGTTTCTTTCTTTTATTGGAAAATACGTGCATGTTTGTTTTGGCCCTGTACAGCTCCAGAGTTTGATTATATAATTATAATTATACCTTGCTTCAGATACTGCCATTACAGCATTGAGTGATAGCTGAGAGTAGAGAAACTTCTACATTGTTGTTTCAGTAGGTCTACTTAGAATTAACACATTGCGCGTTCCCTTGTGTGGCTTGCACTATGACTGTCAGGCTCCTTCCTAAAACGGCAGCTTCAGAAAAAGGTCTGAAGCCTACGTTGAATGAAGAAATTTTTCTTTCGGTGCTCCTCTGTTGCTTGAGCAGTTGAGGTTTAGATAGCGTCTTAAATTTTAGCCACTTCTGACCTAAGCAGTTGTATTTTAACTGGCAGTTTGAGGGGCTGCATGTCCCCTTAGTTAGTACCCTGCTATACCCAATCCTGAGTGATCAATTCTCTGGGTTTATTTTAAGGGACGTTACTTCTAAGCAGCTACTTGAGACGTGCCTGCCAGAAAACTAAGGGACATTTTGTTTTGATTCTGTAGACCAGCAGATCAGATGAGTTGCAGGAGACATCATTTTCCATCTGTTTGCCATCCTTAGTGCAGCAGACAGGAATCTTTTCTGATTTCTTCCAGAAGAATTGCGTTCTAAGATACAAAAAATAGCTTATTGGGTTCATGTTTTCAGAATCCAGATTACCCAGTGGATGGCATTGTTCAGGAGACCGAAACCTGGAGTGAGGATATCAGAAATCTAAGTTGCAATGGGTACACGAACTATTGTGTACTTCGTGATTCCTCAAGCCAAAATTTGAGTGCAAAAATTTCAGTTACGCTGTCCTGTGTAGATGCAGACCTGCTTTGGGTAGGATGTGAAACTAAATCTTCCCACAATGTTGGAGATTCTTTGGGAGCCAGTAGAACAGACAATTGTATTGGCTTTATGTTCAGAAAAAAGAAATTAGAGACAGACGGAGATGTGATTAATCCAGCTTCTGCAGCGCTAGCCAGAAAAGCAAGTTCTACCTTGTTAATAAGGGCTGGATGCTAGACCTAACAAAATTATTTGGTTTGAAAGCTTTAACAGATTTAAAGGGGGAAAAACATTGGGACTACAAGGTGCCCAGGGTATGTATTCATTGTATCAGGACATGCTGCATCAAGCTGTTCTTTTAGCCTGTGTGAGAGTTAACTACGGTCTCAGTGGACAGTCGTGCAGAGTAACTACATGTTTTTACATAGCCTTACGCTTATCCTGTGGATTTCACGACCATGTATATAAATGGAAATTCAGTTTAATCTGTCATCACTCTTGGTTTGCCTACCAGTGAGCAGAAACTTACTGCCGTCCTGAAGGATAGGTCTGATAAAGCTATAGTGTGATTTGAATGCCATGCAGTAGGATTGCTTGCCGTTTGAAATGAAAGAATATAGTTTAGCAGAGCTTAGGATCTAGGACCTAACTGTGTACTGGGTTTCCCTGAGCTAGGATTCAACTTGTTTGTGTCTCTTTTTCAGTGCAAGAAAGTATTCTATGATAATATATAGTGTTTGAAATTCAAGCAGGAGTAGCTTTCTAAAGAAAATGACAGCTGAAATAAAAAAATACTAGTTTATGATTTATTTTTCCTGTCTTTTTTGTGTGTAAAAGAATAAATGTTTCACTTTAACACTGTTAAATAATGACTCTTTTCTTTTCTTTTGTAGGTTGTCTTAGTCTTCGCTCTTAGTATTGGTGCTCTTGTAATATACTTCATAGATTCGTCGAAGTGAGTATTTTAGTACATTTTCCTTTCCCTCCTTTCCTGCAGCAATTATACATCTTTAAATTGCTCCATTCATCTACTTCAAATCAGTGCTCGGTCTCATCGCCTGGGTGCGAAGAACTTTATAATAGTGCATGGTCTACCAAAATAACTCAAGAATGGGAAAAAGATCTTATGTAAACTAGATTGAACACAGTCACATTGATTCTGTAGAATGAATAGAGAGAAAAACTACTTTTGTGTGTTGAGATTATACATACTGTTGCAAAATTACAGTTTTTATCTTCGTTGGGCATATGTAGAATCTTTCCAATTCAAGACTAGGATAAGAAATACAGGGGAAGAATATTTGCCAAAAAATTACAGTTTGCAGGAGGAAAAAAGTGTCTTAGGAGACTGGCAGGAACACTTCTGAAAAACTCTGAATGAATTAGACAGTATGAGCATTATATCTTGCATATCTGTTCAGATTTCCAACTCCTGGGTTTGATAGATTTCTCCCAAGATACAGTGAGCCAGTAAAAATCTGCACAGCATCTCAGTATTTTTTAGATTTACACCAACATTATCATATAGTGTTGTAGCTTTGGCCAGGCAATAGGCAGTTTCATCCTGACCTTTTGAGGTACGTGATGGTTTGATACAAAACCAGTGTAACTAGGAATATCCTCTTTGGTATCATTCATAGTCCACCCTTGTTTTCATATCAAGCTGGACACTGTCGGTGGTGTAACAGGTAAATTGGTAGCCTAACACAGAAGAAACCAATAAAAAGGGACTTAATAGAATATTATTCTGTTGAATCCAATTATTTTGGGAGGATGATAGTCTGAAGTATCAATAGCATTTTAAAGCTCTAGGACTACGTATTTGCTGCTTTTCTCCAAACTAGTTTTAGGCTTGCCATTGCTGCAACGGTTAAGAGAGTATGCTGGAGACACTCCCTGTGAGCCAGCCTAGCTGTCTGTAATGGCAGTGGTTACGTTCTAAAACAATCCCTGTGTGACTCAGAAAATCAGACATTTCACTGTTGACATCTCTACACACTGATATTTAGGTAGGTGGTAGCACCAGCAAAAGGCATTCTTGAATATATGGATGTCAGTTCTGTATCGTGTGAGTTTCAAGCCATGCCTTTGTATGTGAGATGTGTCAAGCATAACACAAATAACTAAGGCAGAGATTTTCTTTGTCATGTCTTTCCCATGCCAAGTCATGGGAAAACTCAAGTTCTATCTTGAGCTCTCTTGAATTGAGGACAATAATTTTTCCTTCTTAACGCTGCAGTGAGTGTTCTCATTAATTTTAGCAAATTTTTCTTTAATGTGTCACCACTGAAGCACATAAGTGCTTTTCTGAAGATCTTTTTAAAAACTTTCTAAAGCACAGTGGCAAAGCTTCTGGGTGCCCAACATATCCAGGTCAAAAGTGTCAAATAGAATAAAATCTGTTTCTGCTTATGTTTCAATTTCAGACGAACGAAATACAGCTATTTGTCGGGGCAATTGTCTTTTGTGAAAATAAGGGATTATATAATTATTTTTAGGCACTGCATTCTAGAAGCCTTTGTTCGATTGTTTTCCTCCAGGAGGGCAAAACTGACAACGTGGGAGATTTCTCTGGGGTGCTTCAGCTTTCTGTGGGCCACCTAATCCATGTACTGCCACCGGCTTATTGGCTGCTCTGTCAATGGGGATAGAAAAGTGTTTTAACTGTAGGTTGCTCGTTTTTTTCAGCCAACGTTTAAGTCCCAGCTGCAGCTTAAATTCAGCAACCTCAAGTTAATATACTCTACTTGCACGCTTTTCCTTTGTTTTCTCCGCCTTCTCTCTTACCCTACTTTCTTCCCACGCATATGTCTTTGTCTTTTTTTTTTTTTTTTTTTGGTAAATACTCATTAGTAGGTTAATTCAGGTTAGATACTCCCCAGCTATATCCCTGCACTGAAAAATTCTGCTTTATTCTGTATTAGCAGCTGACCTGACACCCATTTCAGCAATGTAGAATCAAATGTAGCGATATATCAGGCTATTTAAGATCCCCGAGTGCGTGATTAGTAAAAGTAATTCCTTTTAGAATTTGGTCAAACGGGGAATATTGAAGGCAGGGTGAGAGGAGGGCTTGTGATATCCTCAACAAAACAAGTGGAACAACAGAGACTACGGCTTGGCCAGGAGCAGTGGAGACAAACAGGATCTAGTGCTCACACCAGACAGTGACATACACCATTGTGTGCTTCCCCTTGACAAGTCATTCTATAGCTGTTGTATTCCGCCTGTGCCATGGACACTTAGCTGTCGTTTGATCTTCCGCACAGAGTGACAAAAATCACGTCTTCAATCCAAAGCTGAAGAGTAGTAGTGCCAGCATTTGTCTGAAACAAAATGCCAGTGATCAATTCATCCAAGACTCTTAATCCGTCAGTAGATTTGCAGATGCAACGGCAGGTATGTCCACAAAGGAATCCTACATGACTTCATACATAAGGGGCATCGAGAAAGATGGGAATAACACCGCCGCTTTCTTAGATAGTGAAGGAAGGGGAAAGAGTGGAAAGACCGCTGAGTTTTGTCAGGCAAGCATGTGTGTCACGATTAATTCTAGTGGAAGACACTGAGGAAATCGATAAGGCTCATACTGAAGGTCCCACATACAGAGGGACTCATTGCTCCCTCTGCTATATTCACGGTACAGGGAAGGTGACTGGAGGCAAAATGAGTGTCGTCACAGCTGTGAGAGGAGGGTGAACTAAGAGCATTTCTGTGCTACCCAGTTCATCACTCTAACAGACGCTCTCCCAGACTAGTACCGCATGAAATGGTATGTCCAGTGTAATGCTGTTTGGAGAGATCCGAGGTCAGAAAATAGTGCAGCTTCATGAACATGGTATCCTCTATACCAGTTAGTCCTACATCTCAGCAGAGCCAATTAAGCAGCTTCGTGTTGCGGTACAGTATGCCTTGTACTAATTCTGGTTCTGTCACAAACTTAGGGATCTCTGTACCATACTCCGTTACAAAATACGGGCGCAGTTGTGATCCAATACATCTGCTTTAATCTGAATTGACTTTTCTTAGTAAGAAGCAGTACTTAACTCACCTTTTAAGAAAGGTTCTAAACAAAATCACAAAAATAATCGTTCTTGGTGGAAAGAATGAAGGTTATTAATTTTGGAAACTATAGGGATTATTCCGATACCCTTCATTAAGATTATTCTATTGTTTATTCAATGCTTCTACTTTTTACAAGCCACCAGCTTGAATCGTTGTCTCCTAGTACCACAAAATGTATATAGAACACTTTTCTTTAAAGTGAATATGTACACTTTCAGTGATGCATGGTAGCAACTAATGGAATATTTCAGTCCTTAAACTGAGAATTTATTTGCCAGAGAAATGACTGTCTTGGCATCCCTGTCAATTAAATGCAGTCACATCCTGGTAGGAAATGTTTCACTTAGTAATAAGGACTAGACTCTTTCCTTCCTTTATTTTAGAATCTTATTCATAAAATACTGTTTTCTTGGACAATGGTATTTTTCAGTACTGGAAATAGCAGTTAAACATGAAACATTTGCCAAAGAGGTATTATAAATATCACCCACATAATTACTTTAATCTTTAGGTAACAAGTAACCAAATAATTACATTTTTATTTTTAGAGATTCGTTCACTTTAATGTCTGTCTTCCATTTTTAGTTTGACTAAAAGCAGAACAGTCAAAGAAGTCATAAGCAGTTACTTAGAAGAGTTTCGATTAAGAAAGTGATCTACTTTAGTACAGAATAGCATCATGATGGTTCTTTTCTAATTCATGTTTCCTTTAAAATTTTTCATCATTTAATTCTGCAATGTAAGGAAATAAGGGAATTATCCTTCATTCTTAAGAGGAAAATCTGGCTTGATGTGCCCTCTTTAGATGGTTCTCTAGAGTCTGCTGAATGTGCTGCAGTAGCATACAGAGCTTGATGTCTGCCAATACTTTTTCATTCCCCATGCTTTTTTATAAGTAGTTTTCACAATCTTCCTCCTTCCTGTGTCCACTTCTGTTTATTTTTCTGCATGTAAAAGGTGTTTTAACAGATACATATAGAAGTAGTTCTCTGAGTTTTATTTACATCAGCATTAAAGATGAATTGCCTATTTTCATTTCCATTTGTCATCCTGACCTCTGCACATCGTACTGAATTAGTGACTTGAATAGAGTAGAGAATAACATTTGCTTGCCATGATCATCTTTAGGCACGGTCAGTAAAAGCGCTAGCAGAGAACTCAGTTTCCCACTAAACTGGTAACTCGGGGCTCCCGTTTTCTATTTCTTGTAATGGCAGTAGCATGGAAACTGCTTATGATGTGAATATCCTTTTCTACTCTGGTTCTGTTTTCTCTTCTGGGATGCAATACAATGTAATATGCAACCATAGATATAAGCTGTGCTTTTCAAGCACAGAAACTTCACTTTTTGGCTAGAGAGCTTGCTTTCTAATGACCAGTTATTACTGTCCTGTCTCTTGAAGTTTAGCTCATTTACTGGAGTCCCTTCACTAAAAACTGACGTCAGTGTAGAAATAATAGAGCCCATGAACGGCCGTGTGAAAACATAAAAACTCTCACCACTTGCTTTATATGTTCAACTCGCACGTGTTTTTCAGATGAGTTTTTTTGGAGTTGTTTGTATTTTCAGAGGCACCAGTGTACTTATTCCTAAATAGCTAATTTTTTCCAATACTGTGTCACATATTGTACTTGATCAGAATTGTACATAAAAGCGCCATCTGGCAATGAGTGTAAAACAGCTGGATCTAAGAATAACAGTGGCACTGTGAATAGGAAGACTTACACAAATATACACGCAGTATACACAAATATACAAATATATACCTTCATGCTGAGCCCTGAGCTTGTTCTCAACTGTTGCGTTCTTAATCAGACAACTTCATTTCTTTTCATATGTGGAAAATAAAAAAGTTAAACTTACAGACAACTCTACTTTTTAATGTTCTA